AAAACCATGACCACTACTACTACCTTTATTATAAGGTTACAAGAACAGAATCTTGTAAATCTGAAAAACCCACCTGTTTTGTTATTAGTTTCCAGAGAACTAGGGAAGGTCCCTTTTGAGATGCTATTCCCATTTATGAACTGAGGTAGCTCCTGTCTGACCATTGCCCTGGCTGCAGTTCTTCCTCCTGTCTCCAAAGGTTATTCTAACAACCCATTACAAGAATATAAATATGTTAAAGGAATTATGAATGTGGGATTTGTCATATTTTCATAGAGTCGCGAATGGACTTTTGGAAAATATGGAATGGATGAAAGCCAAAATAAATTCAATTTAACTCAATTCAATTCAACCTTTATTGTCAGTGCACAACATGTGTACAATGAGATTGGCTGAGCATTCTTTAGTGCTTCCCCTCAACATAAATACATATGGGTATTTATTGGTATGTCTAGTTTAATGAAAAGAAGGACTATGGGAGGCACAATAAAAGTGTTCCAATATCTCAGGGTTGCCACAAAGAAGAAGGAGTCAAGCTATTTTCCAACGCACGTGAGGGTAGGACAAGAAGCAATGGGTGGAAACTAATCAAGGAGAGAAGCAACTTAGAACTGAGGAGAAGTTTCCTGACAGTTAGAACAATTAATCAGTGGAACAACTTGCCTCCAGAAGTTGTGAATGCCCCAACACTACAAGTTTTTAAAAAAATGTTGGATAGTCATTTGACTGAAGTGGTGTAGGATTTCCTGCCTAGGCAGGGGGTTGGACTAGAAGACCTCCAAGGTTCCTTCCAACTCTATTATTCTAATTTGTAAATATCAATAACTCACAGTGAAAGAAAGAAAATCCCTAACCCAATAAATGATACTAACAATACACAATCCTTTATACCAGTGGTTCTCAACCTGTGGGTCGGGACCCCTTTGGGGGTCAAACAACCCTTTCACAGGGGTCACCTAAGACCATCCGAAAACACATATTTTCGATGGTTTTAGGAACTGAGACACCAATTTTATGGTTGGGGGTCACCACAACATGAGGAACTGTATTAAAGGGTCACGGCATTGGGAAGGTTGAGAATCACTGCTCTATACGTATATGTGTATAACATTACATTATAATATATTGCACCAATATGAACATTTTGCGCCGGCCCTGAAAGTCTATTATATTACATATTTATGATGTTACGTTGCATTCAGGAGTCTGACAGCCCACAGATAAAAGCAGTTCTTCAGCCTGTTTGTACAACTGGCTGGGCTTCTATATCTCCTCCCCGATGGTAGGAGAGTAAAGAAGTGTTGTCCAGGGTGTGAGTCATCCCTGAGGATTTTCCTCACTTTTCTAAGGCAGTGAGTCCTAGTGTCTCACTAGTGGGAAGTAAAATGACTGCAGGAAGAGAAAGTGTAAACTCTCAAAGGAAAGATACATTTCCCAAAAGAATGAAGAGAAATGGAAAATAGAGATGAGAGTATGGAATTTACTTCGAATAGAACAAAGATAATTGTGTTGCCAAAAGCCACAGAAAATTATGGAGTTATACCAATGAAAATATGAAAAGGTGTCTTTGGCGGAGTAATGAATAGTAAGAGGGTATGGATGAGGAAAACAAGTATATTGGAGAATGGTTAAAAATGAATGGTTAAAATTAAAATGCAGAGAATTTTTTATAGAAAACAAAAAAATATTTTGGGAGGGTGAAAAGATATAAACTAAGAGTTCCGGCATTATAACTGAAACAAAAATAAAAATTATAAAATCATTTGGGATGAAATTGAACAAAGATAATGCTGAAAGGGATATTTTAGAGGGAATATAGGAATGCAATAGTATGTCAAAGAATGGAATTAATTGTTAGCATTCATAAAATAATTAATGAAAATAAAGTTTTCCTCCTTCCCTTTTTATTTTAGGCTGTTTCAATTTTGTTTTTATTTCTTTTCTAGCATATATATTAAATAATGGTTTATACTTTCTTGTAAAATACATATCACTGTATGGTATTTATATAGACTACATACATGTATTCATTATTAATCGATGTATTATTAATCTTTAACATTTTTCAGGAAAGCCAATTGCAATGCTTTTAAAACATAATAAATAAAACTGTATAGAAGTTCTCTACTCAGACAATTGTTAAAAAGAAAATAAAAGAAAAACAATAAAAGAAAAGAAAATCAATAATATGACAGTATTGAAAAATGATGTTGCCTGATGTGTATATAATTGGAAAAACATTAAAATATAAATATAACTTGCTCCTGCAGTGGCTGTGAAATGTCTGTAATATACATTCAAAGACAACATCTGTGGCTAATGTTTACAGGTGAAAGGAGGCAAGAGTGAATGCAAGAATTATGGGGTGATTAGTTTGTGAATGTTAGATTACACTCCATGATACAGCATAGCATCTGGATTATTGATGTATTTTAGACTTAGCTGTTTCTGACAGCAAATGTGGAGAGCACAACTGCAAGATATACATAAATAAAGGAAGAAATATGGGAAATAGGTGAAATATGAAAAGCAACAGTAAATGAGTTGAGAAAGTAGGTGGATAAAATTGACATAAACTTCAAAATGAGAGAGATGAGAAGTGGTTAATGGACATGGTGGATCATTTGGAAAGTACAAAATGTTGGAAACATGAAGATGAAGTTATATTTCCCTGTTCTTTTTATATTTCTTTAATTTCCTTGTTTACTATTTCATAGTTTTCTAACTTTTGGATAATGCCGCTTATCCTGAAAAGAAATGGCTTGATGGGATAAGTACATAGAGATGATAGGTAGATATATACTGTATATATATTCAAAGGATGTTTATAATTTTGCAGAAAGTAAAGATCTGTGTTCCTTTCTAGGGTATCAGCAGCCTCTTCAGTTCCTTAAAAGTGGTGCGACTCCTGAGATTGGGCCGTGTGGCCAGGAAGTTGGACCATTATCTGGAATATGGCGCTGCAGTATTGGTGCTCCTGGTTTGTGTCTTTGGATTAGTGGCCCACTGGCTTGCGTGCATCTGGTATAGCATTGGGGACTATGAAGTTATTGATGAGATCACGAATACCCTCAAGAATGACAGCTGGCTCTGCCAATTGGCAGAGAGTATTGGAACACCGTATCGGTACAATGCTACTGGATCAGGGCAGTGGGAAGGCGGACCCAGTAAAGATTCACTTTATATAACTTCTCTCTACTTTACCATGACAAGCCTTACAACAATAGGATTTGGAAACATAGCTCCAACCACTGATGGAGAGAAGATTTTCTCTGTGGCCATGATGATGGTGGGATGTAAGTAAATGGTTTTTGTATTTGTTTCAGGTTGTATTTATGTCTGCTGGTCCAGGGGTTGTTGTTTTCATATTATCACAATAAAGTCACAAAAAGGAATATTATATTGGTATAAAATCAAAGGAATGGTATCATGCATAGGGTTACTGGATGTCAGGCAAAAGGAGGACAGGTCTTCCTTTTCATTCTCATGTCCTCCATCTGGCAGGCACAACCTTAAAAGCAAATATTATCTAGTTTTTTCAATGGTGTGTGATTTTTGGAGGGCAGAAGACTGTTTTTACAACAATAGTCATTCAAACTTTTGTGTATTATAATCTTGTAAATTGTCTGCTTCTTCCTGACACAATAGCTTGAATTTACATTATTTGATTTATTTCCTGATTCTAACAATTGACTTCAACCCCTTCAAATTCATGATTGCTATAATCTGTAGATCACATAATTTCTCATGTTGTTTCTACAGTGAAATTTGAAATGTGTGTTGTCGATTCTATATTATCAGTAGCATATATCAACCAGCGTATATCCAGGAACACTGGCTGGTAGTCAAATGCTAAAATCCCAAATCCTTAATCTCTATGCACACTGACACCAAGCAGTACCAGTTAGATTGGTGTAACACAAAAATCACACTACCACCCGCCACACTCATGAGTTAGTCGAAGTCTGGCACTCCACAAGCAATTCCATCAACAAACATATTGACCTACCACCAACCTACAAACTCCAAATCCAAATCAACCACACAGCCAACCAGAGACAGCACCAACCCTCAACCAACCCATGCAACCCCCCCACCTCCCAATGACCCTCACCTGATAAAACTTCCCCATCACAAGACCCATCACAAAACTCCTACTGATGATTCGCACCTAACCTATCACAAGACCATCACTTGACACACCCACACCTGACCCATCCCAAGACCTACTGACCAAACAAAGCCCTTATAAACAGAAGAACACAGACACCCCCCCCCCAAAATCTCCACTGAAGATGTTACCTAGCCTGGTAATGAAAGATTTGGAAATCAATCCACAAGCTTGGAGACCAGACCAAACCAAACTATGCCCTCACTAGCATATATTCTTGAAAATAAAGATTTGTTGGAAAAGTTTGCTTACAGTATATTTACTCACAATAGAGTAAATATTACAGTATTGCAATTGGGAAAAAAACACAGCATTTCTGATGCTGGAAAACTTAATTTCAAATACATGCAGGCCTAAGTACATTTTTGCAATTTTTTGCTATAATTTTTGTTGCAGATGTCAAAATAAAATAGTGTCTCCTCCTTTCCCCCAATTGTCCTCCTTCTTTCCAATTGCCTGTGTCCTCCTTTGCCTGTTCAGATGTCTACTAATCCAGAACACCAGCAGCTTTAGTGAGAATAGGGAAGCCACTATGATAACTTGTGGTGCCTTTTCTATCATTTGCAATTGCCTTCATAAAATATCAGTGACAACTTTATTTCTTTATAAAAGTGTATACATGTATGTCATATGTTATGTTGTAGACATAACAATAAAGCCTTTCTATGATATTTGCCTTCGTTTTCAAGGATCCCAGGGCATAGTATATTTGCTTGGAGTATATTTAGATTTTTTGGGTGGTGGGGGACAAACATGTTTGAAAACATTAAATAACATGGCTATCATTGATTCCTGGTGGAGTTCAAGTCCATTTCCAATGCTCACTTTGAAACGGGTGCTTATGTACAGGAAGTTCTCAACTTAGAACCAGAATTGAGCCCAACATTTCTGTTGCTCAGTGAAACATTTTTAAAGTGAATTTTGCCCCATTTTATGACATTTCTTGCCATCACTGTTAAGTAAATCACTTTAACTAAGTAAGTGAATCTGATTTTCCCATTCTCTTTGCTTGTCGGAAGGTTGCAAAAAGTGATCATATGACTTTTAAGCAACCATCGTAAATGTGAGTCAGTTGCCAAAGTCTGAATTTTGATCACATGACAATGGGGGTGTTTCAATGGTTATAAGTCACTTTTTTCAGTGCTGTTGTAACTTTGAAGTGTCACTTAAATGAACTGTTGCAAGTCAAGGATTATTTGTAATGTGAAAAAAGATACTGTCATGCAAGACTGGGCTCTGGTTTAGTAAGAATTTGTGTGACCCTCTTTGTAAAATCTGGAGGAAGGATGAGTTTGGTGACATGCCTCAGAGATAAAGAAGGATGTTAAAAATACTGTGGCATTAAGGCTTTATGCAGTGTAAGCACACTCTGTGCATGCAAGCATTTAGTGGCTTGTATAAGTTTGTATTTATTTCTTTTTAAAAGGTTCACTATAGTGAGGTTGAAAATACTGTACTCGGGCTGCATTCATGGAAGTCAAACTGAAGTCACCAATTATTGAAAATATTGAAATAACTGCTTGGGGTTAAAGGTATTTCGGTTTGTCTCAAAAAGTGTGCAGTTTGAGCTGGGCTAAAGTATCTATTCTTTTTTTAAAAGTTTATTTATTTATTTATTTTATTTATTTATAAAATTTATATGCCGCCCAATCCCGAAGTTTTATTTTTATTTTTCATATATACATTCACAAATATACATTCTCTTAAGTACTGTTAATATTTATGTGTTATCTTTTAACATTTATCACAATTCATTTAAAAGTTTAAAAATATAATTGGGGTCGCTTTCCTGCCACCCCGTACATCCATCATATTTTACAACAACCCTACTTCTTCTTCCGTCTCCTTTCCTCCCAACCTCCCTTCTCCTCTCCCTTCTTCTTTCCTCCTCTCCTTTCTCTTTTCTTCTTCCCATCCTCTCTCCATCTCCTCCTCTTTTCTTTCCCTTCCTACCCTCTCTCCTACTCTTACTACCCTTATCTATTCTAATCACCTGATAATGTTGTTCTTCATCATTATGGCAGCTAGCAGCAACCAAGATGATTCCTAGATATGATATTTTGAACAACATATGACTGTGGTACTCTCAGATTTATTGTTGATCTGCTGCACTAATCTTTCTTCAAAAGGACAATTTGAACAAAGGAATATATCATATTTGTATAATGAATCCCCACAAGGTGATTTGTATATCTGGAAAATGTTTTTTTTTTGGGGGGGGGAATAAAATGCTTGTTGTGCAGTCAGAAACAAAATATTTTGGGTTAAAATTGGTAACAGAAGCTGGTTTATATTTGACCACGGCATATTGTGACCCACCAACACAAATTCCAGAGCAATCTATAGCCTAGCTGAAGAAACTGAAGCCCATGGAGATCCACTTCTGTATGGAATCCTGATGGTTCACTTGAGTATGATCTAGGCTAGAGATAAAGGACCTGGAAGAACTGAAGTAATGAAGGGACACCTGCAAGTCCCACTGAGATGTTCTTCAATTCTCTGCATCTCTAACACCTGGCCCATTGCAGATAAAACACAGCAATGGGGAAAGTCTGTAGAGATTCTCAGTCATCGAGGTCATGGTTGTCCCAATTGGAAGTCCACTTGCTTCCTAAAAAAGCACCTTAGGGACAACAATGGGGATCAAGTTTGTTCAACTGGGGAAACCCTGGCAGTGAATTTTATTTTAACAGAATAACAGAATTGGAAGGGATGTTGGAGGTCTTCTAATCCAACCCTCTGCTTAGGCAGGAAACTCTATACCCATGATGGTGAACCTATGGCACGTGTGCCAGAGGTGGCACGCAGAGCCCTCTCTGTGGGCATGCACGCTGTTGCCAGATGTTCTTCTGGTTTCAGGTGTGCCCTTCACAGATGCCAGAGTGCTGGAAACCTGAAGACCAGCTGGCCAGTGGGCCTGTGTGTGCCAGCCAGCTGGTCTTTGGGTTTCCAGCACTCCAGCGCAGGCGAAGATCAGTTGGCCGGCAGGCATATGCACACTGGAAAGCCAGACACCAGTTGACATGGGCTTGTGCATCACCAGCTGGTCTTTGGGTTTTCAGTGCTCCTGTGCGCAAACATGTGCATGCATTCCACTTTGGGCACTCAGTGCCAAAAAAGTTCACCATCCCTGCTCTATACTATTTCAGACAAATGGTTTTCCGTTTTATGGCAGCACCAAGAATTTCAAAGTGTCTTAGTTCTTTTCTGCTTCCCAGGAAGCAAATTTTGTCCATTCAGCCAGCCAGTTTGTCCTGTGTGCTATTACCAACTTCCTGTTTCAATTCTCTTAATCTCTGAAACAGTTGAGATAGTTACCTTGGATTAAGTTAAAAATCGGATATGGAAGCATAGGGTTCACCCACACAAATATTCTCTTCCTACAAGTACCATTAAGTTGTAAGTCCTGTCCCTCATACAAAACCTCTGATATCAGCCCATTTAGGCTCAGCTCTTTTGAAGTTCACTACTTATTGGCAGGTTCACTGCTTGGAAAAAAAACTTGTTTTCTATATGTTCCTCTTATCTTTCTTCTGGTGATGTTGCTATATAAAATATTTTTGTAATGCAGGGCTAGAACCATTGCCCTGTTTGCAGACCTTCTTTTGCATCTTGCTTTTCTCTGTTGAGATCTCAGCTGTGTCAGGAATTAAATTCCGTGCTGCACAGGGCCACTGAATTTCTTCTGAAAACGCAGTGATGAATAAGCCAGCTAAAGGCATCTGTTGCCATATAATACATTGTGCCAAATGCTGATGTAAACATGCCATGTTCAAAGCTTGTAAACAAAACTGCACTGAGAAAAACCTGGTCCCACCATAATTGATTAAGCAACATTTGTAAAATGGAGTAAAGCATGCATTCTCTTTCTCTCGTCTCTTCTGCCCTAGCCTTTGAGAGGAATTCAAAGAAGAGAGTCTGGCTAGGTCAGATGAAAGGACGAAAACCTTCCTTTGTTTTGTTGTGTTTGTATGGTCATGTTTGATCATGGGGAAGGTTCTATCTGAAAAAGTTACAGGTGAAGTGGAAAGAGGTTTGGCCATATTGATGGGGTTATAGAAGTTGTAGACTAATTCATTTAGATGGTAACAGATGAAGACTGTTTCTTTATGCCACTGAAGTTAT